TTAGTAGGCATAACTATAGCCACTAGTTATCTGGGCATGCCAGCAGCCTTAGGAGTTTTGAGCTATCCTTACCCCCCACTTTTGTTTCATTTTGATACATCTTCTAATAACCCGGTTCATCTCTCCCCTTTAGACCATTGAACTCCAAACGGTCCTGCAACCAGAACCTCAGAAAATGGCTCCCTTTCACTGAAGACCCTTAGATAGGCATCTGAGGGAGATCTGACTGCCATCTTCCCAAAACAGTGCCCCTGTCAGCAAGAAGCAGTTGAGATCAGTCTTTGTCCCTATTCTAATGCCAATTAGATGTACCTCTTCAGAGAAGGAATGGTAGAGGCAAGAGGCAGACAAGTGCCTAGGCAGAGAGGGAGCGGTCCCTGGAGAATCTGTGACCCACCTCACGAGTATTTACACCAGTTGTTTTGTGCAGATAAGGGAACCTGCACAGGGGCTTGTCTGCATGCCTGCAGCAGACTGGAGGGCCACATACACTGGGGGAATGGGGTGGAGCCACCAGGAATTCACACCTTATGCAAGGAGGAGCCTGGCCTCTTCAACTCATGTGTGGTGGTCCTGGTTCAATTTGTGAGGTGGAAACCTGCCTGCAGGACCCCTCTCTCTTTGCTGAAAGCTTTATTTTCACTTAATAAATTCTGTCCTCTTCACCTTTCAATGTTTCCATGTGCCTAATTCTTCCTTGTCATGAGACTAGAATCCAGATTAGCTGAGCTAAGAAACAAAAAAAAAAACCTTGAATCATTAGTGCTCAGAATAATTGTGTTGCTGGTAAATTTAAATCCATGAAGTACACTTACGTTGAGAAAAATTGTTGGAAATAGAGGAAGTCCTCTGAAAAGGATTCCCCATGCTACTTCTCTGCAAATTATCTTTCTTGTGAACAAACCTTAGACTATTCAGAGAAGTCAGTGCAGGGAACAAAAAAGCAAACACTTTTTTCAGGGCAGATAACAATTACCAATTAACCTTGGATTTAAGAAATGTTTCTTAATATTATACCACTGACAAATAACTATTCAGTTATGATTAGTAGGAGAAAAGATGGACTTATGCACCACACTCAAGAAAGGACTCAGACCTTTGGAGGAAGATAGTATAATTCTAAAAGGTGTTTCCTGTCTCTACGATGATTCTAGAATCATTTTTAATGGTGGTGAAGTCACCTTTGCAGAAATTTTAACAGTGAGAGAAAATTATGGCAGTGAAGGAGTTCTGATCTGGCTAACCTCCATCTTGTCTGTGTCCTTCAAGCTGCTCTTAATTATTTCTGGGCTTTGCTCACGCTAACTTTGGAAGACATTTAGTTGATAGTTTAAATGATTATAGCTCTTGTTTCTCCAAAACTCAGTTGTCTTTGTAAAGCTAATGAGAGAGCACCAGGCTAGGAGGAAAGAGGAGACTGAATTCTGCTAAGGTGGAGACATAAATGATTGTCAGCCATTATTCTGGAGGTCACAAGATATGCAACTTCCCCAATTACTCTTGCAGATAGAATCACTATCCTAGAACCTAAGATTGGCCTTTTGAGATATATTTTCAGGTTTTCTGGCATGTCTGAGGAGACCAGTGGCTCCACTTGGACCTACCAACTGCTCCTGTGGCCCTAACCAGAAGCAACTTAGCATGCATGAGGACCATTTCCCACACGCCTATGATTACACCCCCAATCAATCAGAAGCAAGCACCCATTGCCTAGCTACTCCCACCCCATCCTGCAAACTATTTTTGAAAAACTCTAGCCCCCACATTCTTGGGGAGATTGATTTGAGTAATAACTCCATTTCACATATGGTGTGGCCGGCCTCATGTCTATTAAACTCTTCCTTTATTGCAATGCCATGGTCTTGTTTTATCTGTGCAATGGGCAGCAAGAGCTCATTGGATAGTTACAGTGGGGTGAAAGTATGAAGCAATTTCATTTTGTCTGATATATATATTTTTTTATCTTGAGGGAAATACTTAACACACTAATGAAAAAATATTACCTAAAATGGTTGTCTTTATCTTATGATCTATACCATCTTACATCAGGCATTGTGGGGAAAAGGTTCAGGTCTCTTAGCCTCTTGGGAGAGCCCTATGACTCAGTCTTGAGTCTGTTTCATTTATTATTAATAAACAGTTGCCACCTGTCCCTGAGGAAAATATAATTGAGGAGAGAGGAAGCATAAGCAGATAAATAGTTTCTCTTGACCTAGTATGATACACAACATACACGTACATACACACAACATACACACAGACATTTGTAGGACATATCTACTAAATGTCTGTATTTAGACAGAACACAGTCTCTCTCTCTCTCTCCCCCTCTCCTCCATCCCCAACCTCTCTATCACCTTTATGTGCATTAATTCCTCTCCAGTTTTTTTTCTCTCAGCATGAGAAGAAAAATTTAAAGTACCTTTGAATTGCAGTACCACACAAAGAGAACATGTAAAAATCAGCATACAATGCATCTTCAGATTTGCAATTAAAATATAGTATTTGCTGCATTGCAGATTGAAAACATCTAGGTGGGGGACTAAGAAATAATGATAGTTTAAGTTCATGCTTTATTTTATCATAGAGAAGAAAGTGATTTCATGAAAGAGTCACTGCTTAACCTACCACAGTCTACTGTCTTCAGACATCATTGCTTCTCACCACTAGATAAGGACATGAAATTTTTATGAACAATCCCACAGAAATAATTGTTGCCTTTTTGCCTTTTGAGACTCCCATATTGTTCTTTTCGTGAATCAGCAGGACAGGCTGCCTTATTGGACTGTACTGTGAACATGGAGGAAAACGTAATATGGCTGTTATCACTAATTAGAAAGGGATATGGTAAAAATCTGACTGTAGTAAAATAATATGGTATATTCAAACTCACTATATTGTAATAACAAGAAGTATGCTTGAGATATTAATTGTGCTTATTAAATGTGGTATTTTTCTTAAGAAGAAAGAACGATGATTGAACAATGATTTTTTATTCCCTGGTAAAGGAAAACATGCTTGCAGTTTATCGCCCAGCAGGTCGTTCTCCTAGATATGAATTCTAGGAAAACTGCTATACTTGAGCACTTAGAGACATGTACAAGAATGTCCTTGCAATGCTGTGTATGTGATAGTAACTCACTGAATCCAAATATTCAGTCACACCATAGTGGATAAACAAAATGAGGCTTATTCATATAACAGAATACTTTGCAGCAGTGCAAATAAATGAATGCATTACATGTTTACACAACCCGGTAACGAAATGTTGACAGGAAAAAAAAAGTAAGTCAATTTATGCAATGTTCAGAGACATGAAAAATATAACAATATATTTGGCGGAGATTTAAACATGTGCAATGAACTGATATAGAAAAAACAAAGAACTGATAAGTTCAAATTCAAGGAAGAGAGAAACATAGCACAAGGCAAAAATACATAAAATCTGTCCTAACCCAACCACAATGCAAAAGTATATAAATATTCAATCTTCAAATAATTTTCACTGCACCAGTCATATAACCAAGTTAGTAGTGTTCTACTTTATGGGAGGAGAACTAAAGAAGGTTGAACTGTGAACTTTTCCAGGGGAAGTAACTCAAAGTTAAGATTTAATGTATCAAAACTGAGGAGAACTAGAGGGTAGTCAGTGTTAGGACAGCCAAGGGAGCAGCTGGAAAGGCACCCAACCCAGACTAGGAGTTCATGTAAGGGCTGAGGAGCTTCTAACCTGAAGAAGGAATAGAAAATACATGGAAAATGTAGCCTGGGGAAGATAGTTCTAGGCAGCAAAAGGGAGGTGGTTAAGTTTGGGAATATAAGATTTTCTTGCAGAGATCTGGAAAGATGATCTGACTGAGTTGTAAATTAGAGTTGGACCCCAGCCTCCCTGCCATCACTGTGTCCCGGCCACAGACAATGGAGACAGCACAGGGCAGGATTAAAAGTATGGGCTACGGAGTTTGAGAGGTAGCAGGACTGAATCCTCGTCTGCCTCCAGACCCATAAAGCAGCTCTCAATTTCTGTAAAATGGGAATGATGACATCTACTTCTCAGGGTTGAAGGTTAACTCTTTACATGTTATCATTACTAACCTATCCCCTGCTTTGTAGCCAGTGTGATCATTCTAAAATATAACTCTTGCTTCTTTCCCTTTAAAACTCAATGGTTCTTAATTGCACAGAACAAATACTCCAACTCCTTAACATGCCTTTCAAAGTCTTTTGGTGATTAGTCCCTGCTTCCCTCTCCAGTTCCACGGATCATGGCCCTTCAGCCACATTAGACCATCTCAATTCCCCAACGCCCCATGCCTGCTCAGCTTTGCCTGAAACACATGTCTCCTCGCCCTACCTCACCAAAAAAAGCCTGCTACTTTTCAGAGCTCAGCTTGGCAATCTTCAATAGGAAACTTTTCATTTAATGAATATGTATATTCAATATGTGTATATATACATGTATAGTATGCATATGTACATAGAGATTATCATTTCATTATCATATCAGAATTTATCTGTATGACACTGTACACTACCTTAGAATGTAAACTTCAAAATTGTTTTAATATATTCTGTATATCAACACAGTGTGCCTAGATAATTAACATTAAACAATAACACCAACCAATTTACTATTTCTTGGGAGCAATTTTTATAAATATGGTAGTTGTTTTAGGTTCTATTGAGAAATAACTCTGTTATATACAATTTTTTAATTAAATAGTTCATAGTTTAACATAAAATATACCCAATCATAAAAGAGCATCAGACTAAGGATAACCATCTTGCTATAAATCAGGGTAGAGTTGGGGAAGTTCTTCTAACTTAAGAGTCAACAGTGGGCAATGCTAAAAATAAGATCACAGAGGAAGGACACAAAAGAACTGCCAGAAAACTCAGGAATTGCTGTCGATCTGTATAACGTTCCTTTTTGTGTTTTCAACTTCTTCCACAGTGTGACAACTAAACTTTAAGACTGCAACCAGAGGGGCTTCTCTTACCTCTGCATCAAAGCGCGGATCCTGGTAGGCATCACTGATGTTCACTGGAAGGCCTGTTGAAGCAACCAGCTCAGCAACGCTGTTATTTATTAGCCAGTCGGAGTATGATGATTTCTCCATGCTTTCTTTGAAACTATCAGAGCACCAAGGTAGGCAGGAAGAAAAGAGAGAAACATAAGTTTCTTGAAAGCAAACCCTATAAACTACACTAATAGCAGGATAATCTGTCCTTATTAAGAAGTAGTAAGTGACATTAGTCACAAAACAATAGCAAGGTATTATCAGGAGCTACTTCAAAATGACCTACCTGCTATAATGTATAATAATAAAATCCATGGGCAGAAACTATAGATTCCCTATGATTTAGAGAGCAACTGCAGGTTGTATTTAGGTCCCAAAGCTGGCAAACATACATAAGGACCAAAATTAACAATAAGACACCAACAACTAATAAAATTCCATCAACCTCCAGCTTGCCCTGTTTAATTGAACAGACTAGATGTTCTGGCACAAGGAAGAATGAAACCCAAATGGGGAAAAATCAGAAAGTAAATTGGGACTTTAGAAAATTACAAATGCAGCAAAAGAACATATCTAGACTATGGTCTTTTAAATTAATAATTATTTGAAAAACAATTTTACTATCTTAGTAATTATTTTAATAATAGTAATTATTTTAATAACAATTTTAGTATCAGTAACTATTTTGGTAATTTCAGAGTATGTTTCTTAACAATAGCACATAGCCTGCTTACAAAATCTCACTTAAAAGCCTACTTTAATGCAACTGACCCTTAACATTAATAATTAAACCTCTTTTCATGTTTGATTTGAACAAGGAATTTTATGCTAAATGATTTTGTGAACTTTCCCTTGTATCACTTTCACCACAGACACTACACATACAGAAATGCTGTGAGAATTAGTTAAGACAACCTATTCCTCTCCTCCTTTCCATCTTTTCCTCCACAAGTACATATTGAGCACTGCCAGAAGCAGCAGAGATACAAAATTGAGAACTGTTCAAATTAGTATTGGCAAGGAAAATTTTCCTAGAGGATGTCCGATTTGTGGCTTGGCAAGTGATAACTGAAATTATGTGAATGGATGCAAGTATACTAGGGCAAGGTTTTCAAACTACCTTCTGTGGAACCCTGGGTTTCATGATATGTTAATGAGTATACTACAGCAAGAATAATAATCACTCTATTGACTTTTTAATCTAAACTGCACTATATGTAAGAAAACACTAAACACACATATCATCTTTGTTATTTTGCAATAATGTGCCTGTGTGAAATTATGCCATGCCGAAAAGGCAGGAAACTGCATGGAAGGGCCATTGGATGCATGAGTGAGTAGGACACATAGATATTATTTGCCATCATTAATATAACTCATCTGTAATGATTGCTGGCCTTTGTCTGATAAATTCAGCATGTATTTGTAATGTTATTCATCCCTTATTGCATATTAAACATTAATAATACATAAACTTATTCTCTGTGGCTCTCTGGCTGAAAAATGGAAGTTTTAATAAAAAGCTGAGTCTCGTAAATCTTAGATGGCGCCTAATCAAAGAAGTAAAAAGACTGAGTACTTAGAAGAGAAAGCTTTATTTTCTAAAACAAAACCAAACAAAAGAATAAACAAAAAAGTCTTTATTTTCTCTTTGCTGTTTTATACCTGTGTGCTGAAATTTTATGTTGTGCTACAATGAAAGCAAAATCTAAGAAGAAACATGAAAATGCACCTCATATGAAAATCTAACTTAATGAAATCATTCCTAGGTTTATAAAAGAGTGTGGGATAAATTCTGATCTTTCTTTCAGGGATTAATTGGCTTACCAGTACTTTATTCCACATTTTAATTTTTAAGGTGTTCTGACCACATTGTTTTGAAGCTGCTGACCTACAGTGTTCTGTGGAGTGTGGGAAGCAGCGCTGCAGCAGGAGCTGGGGAGAGGTCTGGGTATAGAAGTCAAGGGAGGAACTTGAGAAGTGGTAGGGTAGCAGGGAGCTCAAAGGAGCCAGTTTTGTCAGTAGGTGTCAGCAACTTTCAAGCTGGGTCTTTCAGGATGAGAAAGAGTTCAGGAAGGAGAGATTGGAGGCATTAGAAGGAAACAGCAGGAACAAAAGACACAAATGCAGCAGAGTGTGTTCTTGGCACGATGAGTAATCGTATGGTGGAACAACACTGAAAAGGAGGTCAAGGGTCAAAGGTGAGGCCCTCACCAAGTTGCTGAGACCTTAGTTATAGGCAATGGAGAACTGTTTAAGAACACAGGGCCGGGCGCGGTGGCTCATGCCTGTAATCCCAGCACTTTGGGAGGCCGAGGCGGGTGGATCACGAGGTCAAGAGTTCGAGACCATCCTGGTCAACATGGTGAAACCCCGTCTCTACTAAAAATACAAAAAATTAGCTGGGCATGGTGGCACGTGCCTGTAATCCCAGCTACTCAGGAGGCTGAGGCAGGAGAATTGCCTGAACCCAGGAGGCAGAGGTTGTGGTGAGCCGAGATTGTGCCACTGCACTCCAGCCTGGGTAACAAGAGCAAAACTCCGTCTCAAAAAAAAAAAAAAAAAAAAAAAAAAAGAACACGGAGCAGGGGAGTGATGTAGTTTAAGATGTGATTTTAGAAAGCTTAATTCAGGGACAATGAGCAGGAAGACCTGGGTAGGGAACACTGAAGGTGAGAAGAGGTCTGGTAAACCACAGAAGTCACGCAGATGGGAGGCAATGGTGCTGGTGACTCAAGACGTACCACAGAAGATTCCACAGGCTCCGTGGCCAGATAGCGGCGGCTTACCTTTTGCTCCCGAGTGCCTGTGGCCCTATTAGCAGAATGCAGTTGTTTTAAGGAGGGGGGAGATAGGGAAAGATGACAGATATTCTGTAAGCCTAGAACATATTCATTTTTGAAAATCCAGGGACAAAACTTTATTAGTCCTCAGAACTTAAAACTCTAATCCAGAGTTAGGATAATTTTCAGGGAGAGTAAAATGCATGAGATCACTCAGGGACAGAACACACAGGGAAATCTATATCTAGGGGAGGGAAGGAGAAGAAATTTTAAAGAGGAAAAACTTAAATTTATTGCTATCTACTGTGGGCCAAGGGCCAGGCCAGATACTTTACCTAACCAATTTGTTTTGTCCTTAGATAAATCCTATGAGATGGATATGCTTCTCTATATTTTATGGATTGGAAAATGGAGACCTACAATGCTCAATAACTTTCCCAAATGGAGATAAGATTTTACCTAAATCTGACTCCAAAGTCCTAAATTACACTATTTTTTTCTGTTACCTTTCAGAAGGAGTTAATGGATAGGCTTATAGCAAGAATAGGGTGGGTCGTCACCTAAGAACAAAAAGGGAGGGGCAGCCCACATCAGAGAGAGTTTAAAGATGCTGCTGAAGAAAATAAACACTTCAATCTGAGACTTTAGTTAGAGGAAGGGGGAGGAAAAACCATTGGAGTTGATAATTAAGAGCTTTAGATCCCTAATTACAGAATTCCCAAAGAAGATACAATGACAAAAACACTTACTGAGCAGGGGCTCCTGAAAAACACATTCTAAATCTAAAACATGCTTAGAATTTGACTTGGTTCAGTATGCATACTGCATTGAAATCATTGTAAAATCATTGAACAGTGTAGAAGGAATATTGACTCCTGTGCAAGGCACGGTTGAGGCAGTTTCTAAAGTATAAGCCATGATCTCTGCCCTCAGGGAGCTTGCTACTTAGCTGGGGAGATGAGAAATAAACACACTGACATTTAAACAATGCAAAAATTAAATGCCCAGTTCAAATTTCAAATGAAAATTTTTTCACATAGCTGTATTGATATGTTGCCAAGTCAACTGTATCAATCACAAATGCTGAAGAAGTCCATGGAGGGAGAAATGACTTCAGGTGTTGTAATCTAGCTAAAGCTTCAGAGAGGAGGTAAGATTCGAACTGACCTATAGGTCAGTGCAACAGTGCAAACAGATTTTCTGAAAGTCTCCTCTACATTTCTTCAGTTGAATGTTGTAGAGGAACATAAATTAAAGCCTGAGTGATAGGATTCTCAGAGAGACAGTCAGGAAAGTTGATTTGTCACTTGGTATGTACATCAGTCTTAGTCCATTAACGTGCTATAGCGAAATACCAAAAGTTGGGTGACTTATAAGCAACAAATATTTTTTTCTCACAGTTTTGAGACTGGGGAGGCCAAGATCAAGGCACCGGCAGATTCAGTGTCTAGTGCCTTCTTGCTGTGTCCTCACATGGCAGAAAGAATGAGGGATCTCCTGGGGCCTCTTTTATAAGGGCACTGATCCCATTCATAAGAGCTTCACTCCCATGACCTAATCACCTCCTAAAGGCCCACCTCTTCATACCCTTACATTAGGGACTGGGTTTCAACATATGAATTTTTGGGCAGACACAAATATTCAGACCAGAGTAATCACATTCTGGCTTATGCACCACCTCAGTTTTGGAATTGGTCTACTACAACAGAGAATCATAACACTGAGTTAGAGCTTTCATAACCTTGCTTCTTTTCTTTAAGAACAAAAGGTAATTTTATGTTATGATTAAGATCATGGGTTTTGGCATACCTCAATAAAATATCACCTTTGCTGCTTTCTAGCAAAGTGATCTTGGGAAAGCTTCATCTGTAAAACAGGTATAATACTACTACTGTGGAGATTAAGGTGATAACTTGTGCAAAGTGCTCAGCATATTATTTAGCCCACAGCAAACATTTTCTAAAAGCATCACAACTTTTAAAGCAAATTCTGCACATGACAGTACCCTTTATACATTTCAGTGATGTGGTGTTGTGAGTTTAATCACAAAGGAAAGGGCCCAAATTATTTCTGCTTTTGGAAGGACACATCTAAGGATAAGCTCTTTCAAAAAGTTCCTACAGTTCACCTCCCCCTGATTTATGAGGAATCTTTTATTCAGTATGGTTTTCTTTTTTGCAACTGGTTTCTGTTGGGACAGAACATGGGAATATCACAGACACAGCCACATATTGTTGCGCCCTATAAAAGGGAGAAGTGGGGGCTGAAATTCGTCTAACTGCATGTTTGCTTGAAGTTGCATCTACCTCTAGAGGGTACCTTTTCCTAA